AGTGGCAGTCACAGTTGAACTGACCCTCTTACATCTGCTATTTTGTCCATAACAAGCAAACACCATAAACACATTCATGTCAATTCTGTGCATCTCTACTATCCTCTGTGCAATAAGTTCCTGGCAAAGAAGAAACTGAACACTGTAAACTTTGCAGTCTTAAGCCCTGTTACAAGAAAAAGGGAGAGAAAAAAAAAGTTGCTGACATTAAGCTGAGAAGAAAAAGTTACAGATGACTAGCGGTTCAGACGAGGCTACGTTTGATGATTTTATTTTAGATTTCAGAGAATTCAAGTGAGTCCTCTGAAAAGTTCAGCCTCCGGTTCGCGAGAGGTAAAAGTGAGAAGTCGCTCTCGACAGACAAGAATAACAGCCTGTGAGAAGGTCAATTCTCTCACAGCACTGAGAGGCAAGGGAGGGTTGCATTAGTATGCTTTCCACACAGCTAGACATTATCAGACACATGCAGCAGGTTCTTCCTCCCTAAGAAGGGGGGGGGGAAAAACCAAGCAGCTATGCATGTTTACTCTTGCAGAGGGAGTAGATGAGCAGATCACAAACAAGCAAAGCTTGTAACAGCCAGAGGAAGGGAGAAAATTGACATCTTTACCAACTGCAGTTATTACTGGAAATAATGTGTATGAAGACAATCCCAGCTTCCTTAAATGCCACCATTAAAAAACAGTCACCCTTAAAACAACCCCTCTGGTGTTTTGCCTTAAAGGAGATGGTGTTGAGATTAAGATACGGGCCTGCCAAAGGCGTGTTACTCAAGTTCTCCTTGATGTGTATATAGCAAACATGATATCTTATGACAGCCACTGGCGAAGCCTTCAATTCCTCCAGGCACACGATTTACGATTCAAGACGGTTTTAAGTGCTTAAAAAAAAATGCAGTTGTCAGCCAGTAAGAATAGGAGCCGTTACCAGCATCTCTCTCTTTAGAGATTTGGGTTCACACGTGGGCGCCATCTTGTTAACACCACCGGGGGACTAAATTAGCGACTAACAAGACGAGCCTGCTCCGTCAGACAATGACGAGCCATCGATGGCTAAAGTTCCCTGAGTGTTGTTTCAACAGCATATTTAGGAAAACTGGCAAATTCTTTAAATATGGGAGTGTTATTTTCTTTCCCTTTTTTCCCCTGGAAATTGGCCACTTCCACTACTGCACAGTGAACACTGATGAGGGTAAAGATTGGCTGGGTGGATTGGAAACTGAAGTGACTAAGGAACTGGCAAATGAAAATGTACTGCATGGGGGCTGCAGAAAGAAAAATAAGTATCGTTTCTACACTTTTCTCTGAAAGGAGCCTTTAGTGCTAACAGAAGTTGGTCTTCTCTGATTGATTTTTCACTCCGTGTCCTTCTTGCTCATTGGCCTGGCAGACAGCTACAGGCCTCCTGACAACGTTCGCTCTCATTTCAAGGACAGCCTCTAAGGTGGGTTCACGGAGAGCGGCCACCGCTCGCCTTTGTAAAAACATTTCAATGAGGCCACTGACAGGTGTCTTCAAAGGAGCAAGGAAGCATAACTGGCAAGTTAACTATAGAGCCAAGTACTCCTTTCATACAATATTCCCCTTTTCAACTATCTGACAGGGTCGGAGAAATAAAGGAGAGGGGAAAAAAGGCATCTCTCAAATGTTTATACAGAAATCTCCGTTTCACACTGACCTCCATTCCATGCAGATGCCAAACGGCTTTTAACTTCTGTGCTAAAGCCAATGCTCGCAATGCTGCAATCATGTGCGCTGCATAAATAATCCAAGAGACAAACATTTATCACAAGCAGCCTGTATTATTTCTCTATTAGGCAGCTCAAGAAGCTGTGGGACCAGCTTGGGGAATAGCCTGCTGTGTACTGGAGGGTTGGTGTGTTTGAATGCCACACTGGCACTGGCATGGAGCTGCGGTGTTTGGCCAAAGGGGCCCCCCTCTGTGTTCCCTCTGCCCTGGGGCAGGAGCCAAGGCGTTCTGGGCTGCATTTCAAGAGCAATAAACTTCTCCAGCATTTTAGAGATGGCATTTGGAGGTATCAGCATGCTAAGCCTGGGAGGGGTTGGCCCATTGCTCTGCCGACACGACCCTGGGAGCTGCTACTGCCTCGTCTGCGCCGAGGGGATTTGTGTCAGTGCCGGGCCTTAAAATACCACGGCTCTGCGTGTCTGCCTTCCTCCTGTCTACACTTCACTCACCCCCAGACTGACAGCATGACACAGACTCACTTTATCACATATTATCCATTTATTTTCATCCTGTGCCGGACTAAATGCAGTAAAGGGTGCTTTTTTTAAAGCCACAGTGGGTTACTTTGGTCACTTTGAAATCCAAGTTACATTAAGGCTTCCGTTTAGATCCAGTCATAATCCAGATCCGGCTACATCTGAGCTCACATTACGCGGGATGAAAAATTTACCCGGCCCTCATCAGCCAAGATTCTTGTCACCGCTGACCTAAAGGTGCAGCTCCTGTAATCACATTTTGTTGCTTGCTTCCTCCTCATCTGTTTCTTTCACTGGCACATGTTGACTTGGGTGAGGCACAGACAATTACTGGGAGCCTGTTGTTCATTTACTCCCACAAGGCAGAAAGGCGGAGGTGATGAAGCAGCTGTTGGATGGCATGCCAAATGAAATGCGCGCGCATGCATGCACACACACACGCAGCGCATGCCTAAACAGCTCTCTGTCATGCAGAGAAGTGTGTGTGTGTGTGTGTGTGTGTTGGGTGGGGGGAGACTGCTCAACTTCACTGCTAATCAGAATGCCTCTGCTACATCTTTGGGGCCTCAGTTTTGTTGCCTCTTCCCTGGTACTCTGCCTGGATTCGCCTGATTCCCTCATTTGGTTCTCATTTGTTCGGCTGCCACACGGTGCAAGAAGTCCACGTCCTCTTAGGGGAAACGCAGCTGAACAGCAGTTTGATGTAAGCAGCATCTGGGTCTCTTTCATTTTAAAACTAGCCAGTGGGCTGTCGAGGGGGTGGGGGTGGCTCGTACCATTAAAATGATGTAGAAGCAACACGCGTCTTTGTGTTGTTTAATGTAGTGTGCACAGTACAATGGGGGATATTGAGAAATGTCTCATTGCAAGACCCAGCCCAGATTCACCCCTATTATCTCTGCTACACTGAAGGTTTACTGCATATCTGTCAATTTAACACCAAGCAAAGGTTCAGAAACGGCGCGCATTTCAGCCACAGCTCGCAGCTCTCTCTTAAAAACACACCAGCTGGGGCCGAGTCAGTCAGCAGTGAACAAGCTGCTGTCTTCAAAGAATGTAATACATTTCTAAAATACCAAAAAGAGTGCGCAAGAGACAACTACAGGGCCACTCTATTTTTATCAAACTCGTTGCTTTATCCTTTATATTCACCTGATCTTCTACCTTTACATTTTTTTGTTTTCTTTTTTTAATAAAAAAAAAAAATGGCTTCAAAGCAAAGGAAGTGGGTTGATGCCTCGAAAACCTGCTGGTGTCTACAGCTCTGATAGCCACAACAACCTGTGCGCTACACCTGCTGTCTGCCCAAACCGCCCTCCAACCGGCTACTCTCCACCACGCCGCTTTTAAAACCACTCAAAGCTCCCACCAACATCCTCCCCACTGAGCCAGATAGAGTAGAGTCAGAAGAAAACACAGATCCATCAGGCCAAACCACTACCTCTTTCAGCCAAAATAGCAGCTTTGAGAGAGCGGAGTGCAGGCAAAGGACAGGCTCGGTTGGGGAAAGGGAAGGGGGCAGGGCGTGCGCGCTCGAGAGAGGGAGGCTCAACCGCTCCGTGGGAGGCAGAGAATGAGGGAGCGCAAACATAGTACTGGTGCTGGCTCGGAGCCATGTTTGTGTCACTAACAGAAGTAGCCTTGTCCACCCCTCCCCCTCGCAGCCGCACCACCACCCCCACCCTGCCATAACCCCCTTGCCTTGCACTCGCTCTCTCTCAGTTTGCTTGGAAACAAGAGTCAAGGGGCGACTGGCTGGATGCTTGGTAACAGAAAAGAGCTGCAGTACAGAGCAAAAATCAAAAAAAAAAAAAGAGGAAAGAGAGGGGAGAAAAGCCACTCAATAGCAGGGACTGTGCTTTGGGAATGTTGATGAGGCAGGGACCTTTTTTTCCCTGTTTGGTTCCTCCAAGCGAACCAACAAACAGCTCTGTGGATGTGTGGGCGATTTGTACTCAGCATGCCCGCAGAGAGACTGAGAGCAAGCTGCTTTGAAGATTAGGTGTTTGCATTATTTCACATCCACAAAAGGAAAAAAAATAAAGTGGGGGGTGGGGGCAGTTCTTCAGAACCAGCAGAACCTGATGGTGTGATAGTGACACATCTTAAAATTAAATGAGCTGTATGAGGTTTTCGATCAAAGGGAGGAAAACTCAGAGTGTATAAGATTTCCGTCGGACTGCACTGCAGAAAAGGAGCCCACTATTTTCCCAACTGGCAGGCTTGCGGAAAACAAAAAAAAGAAACAAAGGAAAAAAGAAAAAGTGCTTTGTGTTTGAGGCATGTTGCTGCAGAACAGATATCTCTGTGCAACAAACTTCTGTCTGCGTACTAAGAAAAAAAGAAAAATATCCCCCCCCTCCCGAACAAAAACAAAGAAATCAAGGCCACCTAAGAACTGCCTGCCAACTACTATTCTTCTTGGCAATATTACGCAGCATGTGCGCTGGTAAAGCACGCATTAGTACCACCACCAACAACCATTTCCTGAGGCTGTCTGAGCATATCCAATTACATTTTAGGAGGCAAATATGTACAGTAATGACAGCAAGATGATTTTTTTTAAATGACAGAAGATTCACTAAAGCTTTGAAAAACCAATAGCTCTTTGATGTTAATATGCAAACACATAGCTGCTCTGGCTTTGTAAATAAAAGGAAGAAAGAAAACCTATCCCATATGTTTTTACCTATTTTCTTTAACTCCACAATCCACAGCTTATTTGTTTTAAAGGGAAGAGATTTACAAAGCAGCACGTTAAACTGCTCCACTTACCGTCTTCGGTTTCCTGCCACACTATGCCTTCAAGATTGACACTGGTTCCAGGCTCACAGGGCCCCAAGCACTCCGGTTCGGTAGACAGGGCCACGTCTGATGTGTTCACCGCCACCGAGCGTGTGCGCACCATTATCTGCTCGCATGGTGAGGCAATCTCACTGTTGCCTACTGTGGCCAGGAGGTGGAGGGGGGGTGGAGCTGGCGTGGAGACAGGAGATTCCATCTGTGAAGGAAGAAGTGGAGGTTCAGAGAAATAGAAACACACTTCAGAACCACTCTCTAAACAGATACGGGCCAGATGTTGAGTCTCAGACCAGCGGATGCCACAATGAGAGGAAGTGAACAAAGCGCTGAATGCATCGAGGACATTCTGGTATTTCAGTGGACTTTAAAAGCTAGCTTGGTTACAGAAAGCGTGATGCAGCAGTTAGCAATGCACTGCTGTGTTTTTCCTCGCTTCAGTGGTGATTAGCAGGCAGGGAAGGCAGAAGTGGAAATCTGAAAAGGACCGTATTTGTTATACGAGGTCGGCCAAACAATCCCTCCCCGAGCTTTCCTCCCTCGCACACTGCGAAGCGACGCTCGTGACACCAAATCATCTCGCAGACTGATCACTCATTAATTTCCTCAATTAAAGAGCTAGTTGTGGCAAAGGAGTGGGCTGCTCGGGGTCAGTAATTGATTCCACCTGTTCTGACACTCTGTGACAGTAACGAAGAGACAGTGGGCCGACACAGAGAAGGAAAATGAAAAGGACAGCAAGGGAGGGAGCCGATGAGAACATCTGAGGGGAAGAGAGAACTGCAGGCTGAAAAATGTGTAGGTGGGAAAGAGGCACAGAGGAAGAGTGATGGCGATTTAAGGGCCGGAGTGACACCAAGCTTAGCGCTCTTTATTCAAGGCAGTCGACATTAAAGCGCTCCAAATCATTAGCACTGAACTGCAGGAGGAATGCCACGCCGCAGCCAGCACCGCACATTTATTAATTGGGCATAAACCACTCAGTGCTTGGGAATATGCTGCCAATGCTGGATCCTATTAGACTTAGAAGACAAAACAACAATTGACACGTTGGATTATAAGCCTGTACACCCTTTAAATAATTGTTCTAATCTACTTACTGCTCCGAGCTGAAAACGATGTAGAGAACTACAACAAGTCGGTGCTGCAGATGGTGAAGTTACTGCTTACATCTTAGGGATGTCCGTCCACCATTTTATCTGAGAATGAAACAGCTGAAGTGTTGGGAAACTAAACTCTACTAAAGGGACGAGCACAAAACCAACATTTATCGTTTCCAGATGATGAATCCTACTTTAGTGTAATTTTTCAAACAAGTACCCGCAACAGTAATGACATGAGCCACATCGATGCTTTTTATCCAGTTACATTTGCTGCTGATATTACCATGGTACCACGCAAATGTTGCATTTGTTCAAATCGAATATTACCGTGCTAAACAGTGTTCACCACGGTAAACAATATAATGCCTTCTCAACACTGATCATGCTCTGAATGCTGTTCAAAGCACCACTTTACTTAGGTAGAGCTTTTCACAGCCAGCAATGCTTCATGAAATGAGGGGGTTACATCCAAAACCACCATGATGCTCAATTACTGCAAATGCCACTATGTTTTTCTGCTTTTTTGCATTTTGGGCTATCACAGTTGAACTGCTTTTATAACTTGCCTCACAAAAAACACTGAAAAATCTGTGCCAAACATGAATTAAACCCATTAGCATTTTCATTTCCCCATGTCTCTGTGCCTTTAAGGGGGACTTTTAAAATATAAACTAGGGCTGGACAATTAATAGAAAATGAACCAACATTCAGAGCCTCAAATTGATGGAATCTTGCTGGCTTTGTTTTTAAACTCTATTAATATTTGCCCCATTATATACTATCCCCTTTAAAACATACTACAAAGAGTTGTCACGTGACTCTTTCCCATTCAGTCCGCGACACGGAAACATCACTGAATGAAAGTCAAACATTGAGCCAGTTGGAACAACTCCAGCCGTTTGTGCCAAATCAAAAAAAGCTGTGTCTGTTGTTTGGATACATTTTTGGCATCAATAAAGACAACATTAAACAGAAAGCAGAAAGCTGTGCTAAAAATTGCTTTAGTGACCGAAGGTAATACCACCACCTGGAGTGCATCATATTAGCTAAAAAGTATCCTAGCATTTGCAGTTGAGTATACAGTACAAACATAGTGAACTATGAGGACTATGATGCGTGTGTAACAATAACTGTTTATTAATTGAAATTGAGGTAAAACATTCTATTAATCGTGATTTTGATTTGAGGACTATCGCCCAGCCCTAATGCACACTATGAATTATTCTGTGTGAAGTGCATCAATCACAGAATAAAGACTCGCGCTCTGTTGTGAATCGAGTGCTTTAAAAACCAAACATTAGTCTTCAATGAAATCTAATATTAGCTCAAGACATGTCATCATAGAAGCTTTATATTTCATGGTTTAGTGAAATCAGCGTGGATAGTCCATTTCTCCCAGTGCTCAGAGGAAGAGCAAATTAATGAGTGCAGAGAGCGACAGACTCTCAGGGCTAACGACATAGTAATCACTGTGTGTCAGTTTCTGATGCATGATGTGGCCAAGCTGCAGGCCAACTGAGACAATGAGACAGGACAGGTAATCACCCAAGCTGTCACCGCACGCTGTTCTCAGGCCTTATGGAGACGCACAGGGCTGCAGACAAGACCGCACAATAAACCCTCCCTCAGAGTGACAGCAAACGGTGAAAGGTGATAAACAGGTTCATGCACGGCCTACTTTAAATGAACTCAACTCTCAAACTGCTCCTAAACTGTGTCCACAATTTAGGAGCTGACATCTTGGATACATTTCTGGCCAAAGCTAGTCGACCACATTATGGTCTGGCAATAACCGGCTTATCGCAATGAAACTACTATGAGGTCCACACAATTAAAACCTGCAGTAAAAATGACTGATAAAACAGTTCGTGGGACATGTGCTTTAATCAGCCACTTCATTATTAATTATTTACTCATACAGACTGACCCACCTTTTCTATATTTCTAAGTCCTGCAAACCATTATTCTGGAATACAAATGTCCAATTAATCCTTTTCAATTTAACAAGTAATAACTATTGTAGCCTTCTTCTCTTCATATTGTTCTACATATTTGAAAACAACATTATTTTAGCTAAAACGACGTGCATTTGTGCATGTGTTGAGTTATAGGAGGCTAATGAAAGGCTCTAGTAATGAATTATGGAAAACGCAGGTTGAGTGTCACAGCAGAGTGGGGTTCAAGGATTCCCCTGGTTTCTAGGAGTATCAGAAGCCTTTTAATCATTGTACCTCTCTAATTATTTGTATGAAGAACACTGACTGCTGGTGATTCCCAGAACAATTATAATTTCCATTAATGAACTTGAATTCCACAGTCTCGTGCTATATTTTCAGATTAAGTAAAACCTTGCTCAGATGAGTTTTGGCTTCATTTTTTTCTGTTACCAAGCAGGGGAGGGAAAGTATTTCATTTCAACTGTCAGAAACATACAGCAGGTGATGAGCCACTCCGTATAATGCAACTATATAATAAAAATAAAAAAAAAACATTTACTAGGTAACTGTATTTTTTTTTTTTAAACAAAAAAAAGCAGAATCACAGTGGAAACTGGAGCAGTTTTGAAAGTGCATGAATATAATTCTCCACTTCCAGGTTCTGTCTATGGATGAGTGAACAAAAGTACTTTCTCTCTGAGGCTGGAGAATGCAAAACCACACATTGAAATGCCCTGTGTCCAGCCTTTTAAAAAACCCCACATGCAACCGAACTACATAACTTGCCAGATTACAAGGCTCTACCCGACTCTCAGCCAATGCTAAATTCTATGATTTCTTCCCTCCTTGCTAGACTTCACAGAAGGATTTGGAAATCTCTCCTAAAAAAACCACAACGCTCAAGTGTCACGCAAACCTTTTCTTAACTCAAACCTTGTGCCAGCTCTACAAGAAAGCCAAAACTGGCAATAATAATGTTTAACTCGCTGGCAAAAATCCCCAAAATCCAGGACTGCTCTTGTGCATATTTCAAGAGTGCTGACTTAAGGGGAACTCTGCCTGGATTTCCAGTGTTCACACAATAAATCAGCTGTGGCAGATGGATGCTTGCTGCACTTTTAACTGGACGCATTTAACTTCAGCTTTAACTTGTTTATTAGAGTTGGGATTAAAAAAAACTGAGCACTGAGCTTGGGCGGCGATTATTAAAAGGATTACACTGCAGTATTATAGTGACTAAGTTGTCTTGGCTATAATCGGTGATGAGGCACACACACACACACACAGTTGACTATTATAACTGTAGACACTTGAGTGCAAGTAAAACAGCTACAACCCCCGACTGTGAGATCCTTTAAAATGCCCCAGTGACAGTAACGTTAAAGTTGCTACAAGGACAGCCTGTATTTTCATTTTAACTTATGATCACTGACAGCAGCCAGTGAGAAAGGATCTGATCAGCTCCAGTGGGAGATACGGGCCGATGGGTAACTTTCTCTTTTAACATTTCCTTTAAAAGGTCAATAAAGCTGTCATGTTGCAGCTGCTGTCATTAACATGCTTTTTCCCCATTCTGTTAGGCAGTTTGCTAAAATGAGGGTCACAGACACTGCTGATGCACACGGGAATGAATAAATGGCAGCAGATCGTAACAGCGGACCAAGCTAAATATGATATACAGTCAGCTGGGAGAAGACGTAGGAAGGATTTTACAGATTGCAGGCTGTTGTGTATAAAAAAAAAAGACGTCTTCAAATGCATACACTTTAGCTAATTGTCAATATACTCAATCAATATAAGCCTAGTCAAATGTCTCTTTGTACACACAAAAACATCTGTTAATGTTTTTTTGCCATTACTGTCCCACTTGTACAAGCAGGTCACAGAGAATCATGTGTGCAGCAACAGTTCAATGTGCTTGACAGCTAAATGACACAATTTACTTTGTTGGCGATTTTTCTTCCTAAGTGTCTGCGAGAAAACACAAGCAGCGTAACCCTCGTTAGAAGCAGGGTCTTTGAGTCAGGCGAGATTGTGAATACTGAATCATGTGGACTGATGGCAGGAGTGGGTTATCGTATCACCTTTATAAAAGCTTTATGAGTAGGTACTGCACACAACAAAAGAAAGGAAAGAAATGCAAGCAGATTGTGTTAGTGGGA